CTTCACAGGGCATCGGCAACCCAAAGGTCTATGATTCGTGACACACTCAGCTAAGATCAACGCTGATATGTCTATATATAATTTACGATAAAAAACAAACAAAAGTGAAGCTAAAAACAATGGATACTTCTTTTTTAGATTCGATTTGTTCTCTGTTTGTAAGCTAAGTTCTGAAAGGTCGATGGCGTGAAGGATTAAAGTTAAAAAGGTTGAACTTTGAGCGCAGCACTCACTGGGAATTGTACCAATGATTGTGTCTACTAGGCTTACACTCAAAGTACCCCAAAGTACACACTTAAAGGAACACTTAAACACATCCAGCTGGTTAAATCTATTGAACATGCACTAGCCACAGTAGAGCAGCACAAATCTTCTCCAAACATCCTACACTGACAATTGCAGCAACTCTTTTCTAGAATTTGCATGAAATAGCCTTTGGGAGGATCCCTTCCTGCCAACAGCAAAGTCTGTTTATACAAGGACAATCCAATAAAAAAACATTTGTGATGGAAAAGTAAGCAAGAAGCAAATTATAAGATGCTTCTGGTGCCAATGGACAAGTAGGTAAAATAAGACGTCTTACTTGCTCTGATGAATCTCCCAGCAGAGGGGAAAAAGAACCTTCACATTTACCAAAAAATCACTACCCTACACACACAATTTCTTTCAATTACAAGGAAACTACAAAACTATGAAATGCAGTCTGTACCACCATTAATACCCCTGGGAATTATACAACATTCCAAAATACACAAAGATTAGGCTGTGAAATTAATTTGGTCACACTTAAGATCTCCAAACATCTATCCAAAAGAGCACAGAAACACAGAACGGTCACAGTTCAGGGAAAGGTCTTCGTGGCCAAAAAATAAATATGTAACGTCTGCAACTTCCAGTCAGGTTAGGACAGATATACAAACCTTTAGTTTTTTGGGCATTGGTTATCAGACACATTTCATTATTCTATGTAAAGAAATAGAAGGGAGAGGAACAAACTGGAGCCTCGTGTCTCTAAAATATTAACTACAATTCCGTAGTGTCTGACATTTTATGCTTATCTTTATATTTACATATACAGACATAAGACATGTCATTCTATTCATGAATAAGTAAAGCCACTTTATTCCAGGGGATTACTTTAGTCAGTGTGATCAAATGCTTGAGAAAGTTCATTGACAGAATAGAAAGAAACCTTTATTCTTCCTTGAGTCTGTATTATTGCTTAATGTGACAATGTGGACCAATTTCTTTCTAAATCCATTTTGTTCATCTCCTGTTATAATCTCTGACTCAGCCCACTGGGAAATGTGATTATATTGAACACAGCAGGACAGTTTGTATACAGCGGTCAATATGATATCCCACCAGCTCAGAGGAATTGTTTTATCTTAATTCCCAAATTTATGGATTGGATTAATCCCATACTCGTGCATTTTCTTGAATTACACACGATGGAGACCTTAAGTGGTGGACCACCTTATTGACGTGCCTTACCTTTCTCAATATTTTACAAAAACAAGACATTGCATTGATTTTAACAGAGCACTACACTCGTTGGTGTTGTCAGCTGATATTTAACTCTCATCTTATAATCACCTATTCAAACAAGACACCTATCAAGTTTCATCAAGACCTCAAGGCGGTCTTTTTAATCTGACAAACTCCCTCTCTTATCATCATAATGCTGCTGCTCATTATACTGTTTACTGCCACCTGCTATGCATGCCGCTGTAATGGTTGTGTTGATTTATTTCCCCCTACACCACTCCAGACTGTTTTATTTTTTATTTCCATACTTGGTGAATGCATTGCTTTCCTTTCCCTTTATCATTTATATATAGTGTATCTCAGTGATGTTGCTGCACTAGTTTAGTCACAGCTGGATAAATCCATTACAGAGAACCCTCCAATAAAAGTGTATGACCATGTGTGGCGGTAAATGGTCCTATATTTGAGGTGTCAGGGTACTTTTGGATTTTAAAGCACAGTCTTTATAAGCTTTAGACCAATCAGGCCCCAAGACCTCTCAGTGGATAGGCAGTTGGTGTGCATTACCAACTCCAAGCTTGTTGACACATTGCCAAAAGGCCTTTCAGTCTGAGGTCTCAAGGTCTTGGATATTTTGCTGATGAAGTCCCCGGTGGCATCTTAGACTGGTCTGAACAATCCCAATGCTTCTGAACATTTCTCTTTGAAGCTTTGGCACACACTGATCCTCTGTTTATTCCTGACTAACTCTGGTTTTGTAGTCTTCCAATTTCCTCTAAGCACCCTTGCTGAATAGTAACATCCCTTCGAATTCATTGTTGTATCCTGCTTTACAACAACAGAGTTGTATGTGTGTGTGTGTGTGTGGAGTCCAGAGCCAGCTTGTTTGCTGCTGAGGCCTCTAACTCTGCTCTTCAGATAACATAAATTAATCATCAGGGATACAGGCCAGATTATAGGTGCTAAGGGGGGGCCTTTCTCTACTCCTCTGACAGGTGGACAAGGATGGGGGCTTCTATAGTCGAGAAGCCTTCAGGCAAGTACTATGGGCTAGAGAATACATAAGAAGTGGTCAATTATACGTGTAATGATGAATCAGTGGAATTTCTTGTGTCTTAGCCATCGATGTGAAAGTATAGGATCACTTACACCTTGGTGGTTTAGTCCATTTAGTTTCCCCTCAATAAGACTGGGATTATTATTCCCCTATTATTATTAACCCTTATCCTACCAAAATATTTAACATAGAATGACTATTGGAAGCCCACAGACCCAAAGAAGAAGAAACAACCGTTATAGCAAATCTTTAGTTAATTTCTTCTCAATACATTATTAGTTATGTAATTAATGTAATCTGAAAAAAACTGATTATAATTCTCTCCATCAGCAGCCTCAAAAATTCTTACCTTTGTGTTTTTTCCTGCATTCACACCATGTCCTGATTGTGCTCTGACTGCATGTCAATCATATGCATGTCAACACTATTTTACAGTCTTATCTTGTATAAAAGAACATATTCCTTTAATTTAATTGTCATGGAACATTTTATTATGTATTGTATTTCTGACTTTGAACAAACATGAACTAAATAAACTGTTCTATCTATAAAAACTGCATGGGCAGAATTGTGTGCTTTATATTTTTAAATAGCACTAATTAAAACAGAAACAGAAAACAATGATATGAAGTCATCAGGAATAAAGTGATTGACAAAGTCACAAAGTAAGGATAAAGCACCAGTGACAAAAAGTATACCTCTGAGATCTGCGGGCATTGCAGTCAGTAGGTTAAGGGACCCAGTTTTTATGTGTAATTGTAGATTGCTGGGTCTCACAGGGGCGACAATATGCACAGCTCCCAAATCTCAATGATGCCTTGAGTGGCCTGAGCTCCATTCACGAGGCCGGTAACAAAAAAACCAAAAACATTGTAGAAAAAAACAACAAAAAAAACAAGAGAATGGTCCAAACAATCCTCATGTATGTTCGCCTACGTGCAGCCCAGATTAGAATGCTGCTGCCTTGAGGCATGCAGTATCACAAGCAGTGTGCAGATCATTCATCTCTTTTGTTTTTTGTGGGTATCTGAATATAATTACAAAGTTACTAAATAATAGTCTTGAAGAAATTGTTACTTTCTGTAGAGCACTTTAACCTCCTAGAAAAGGAGGTTAAAGTGCTCTCTCTTATCTGTAGAGGCTGTGAGTGAGTCCTTCAACTCACCTCCAAGTAAAACCGAAAGCATAATACAACCCAATCAAAGTGTCCATCCACTCCATTAAAATATGCCATCATACTTGATACCTATCAGTGACAGCAAGGTGGCCAGCTGTGGAGCAGAAGAGAGGAATCTCTCATATACTGCCTCTGTTCTCACTTCTACTTCTTTATCCCCAACAGGTAAAGTAGCAGGGATAGGAGGGCTGGATATTATCTGGTGCTTTACTAGTGGGCTCACATTTAGTTCCCCCCCACCCAGCTAGACAGGTTACAGGATAGCCTACAAAAAGCTCTTTACCTCTCCCCTCACTCTTTCTTCTACAGCCAGTGGGCTGGGGCAAATAATTACGCTGCTGGCAGGGTGCATCCTTTTGAGGGCGGTTAGTGGTATGTTTTCACAATGCCACTGGTAAATGCATCATCGTCAATTCTGCATTCATTGTCTTCAACCTCTTGGGGGTCTGGCAGTTGGCAGCAGCAGCATCCACTGCCACATTTTACCTCCCAAGAGTTGAAGCCAATGCTTGTTTCCCCCCTTATTGCATTGCACTAGACTGCTAATTGTTGCACAGTGCTTTTTTTTTTTTAAATATCTATTACACAATCAAACCAACAATGCTACCATCTTGATAAAGACAAAGACCTGCAGTCTGTATACTCCAAGAAGTTTAATCTAACACTGTTTGGTATATGGCTCATAGATTTTCTTGATTTACAGAATCCATTGGGCAGGCACAGAGACAGCCACCCAGTGGTGTGGGTACATGAGTGGTGCAGTACAAGCTGGTCAGCGAGCAGCTCTGGAAGTACTGGCTGAACTCTGCCCCATGGCCCTGACCCAGGAAGACCAGGAGTCAGTGCAGAACAGTCAAACTGCCAAAGGTCCTGCCAAGCAAACACAAACATCCAAACTCACGTACATGTCTACAAGCAAGGTTGTGGTCATAGCAACACTGACAATAGGTGCTGCTCTCTTGCTGGCGCAGCATCAAACTGCATTGCTAAAGGTCAAAACTTACTTGATGAATGTATTTTGAACTACCAGGCATAATATATTCTTATTGTAACAGAAACCTTTAAAACAGGTGTATGTTTCACCTGGTTTTGCTGGGGCTCCAGAGGAAAGTTACTCTGTCCACTGATATCTGATGTTTGTTTTCTTTTCTTTTCTTGGCTCAGGCCACGTAAAAGTTAAACTCAATTATATTGATTTTCATTATATTGTATACCAAATTATATTAAAATGTAGGTTTAACTGTCGCATTAATAAATATCTTTTAACAAAATGATTATATATTGTATTATTATGCATATTAAATAAAGAGTGCTCTTGAAACAGTTGAGAAAAAGGATTTAATGACTCCAGCTGCCATTTTCCTGTCTGCTTTAATGATTGGAAGAATCTGGAGAAATGTGTAGTAAAAGTGCCATCTTTTCTCATTTGCATTTTTAACATTTAACATTGTGACCATAACATTTAGGTTGTTCTTGTAAGCTTTGGGCTTCAGAGCAATCATGTTGTGTTTAAACCAGTTTGCAGTGAGAAAATGGAGCTTTCATACTGCATGCCTTGCTTTGTTTCCCACAGAGCCATAAAACCTGCTTGAGAGGCTTGGAGCAGAGCCACACACTCGTTTGTTCGCCCACAAAACCACCAACAGACATTCCAATGAGCGTAAGATGGATGAAGCATTCACACAATGATAACGTCCCAGAGAAAGTGATTTAATCGCTATCACTTGATTGCACAGTTGATTGAAAGGATTTTTGTCAGTCCCCATGTCTCTCCTATAGAGTATCTCAAACGCCCACTGATCATTGGATGGTTGTCCGTGACTCCAGTAACTTCATGGCTTGCCATTTGTCTTTGTTATCATTACCTTGCACTGAATCAACTGCCTGGTCTCCCTGGTTTCATTTAAGCCTGCCCAGGTTGAATCAAAACCAACAGCTCAACATTTCCAAATGTGTGAGTTTTTAGCACCATTTGGTCACTGATTTGGTCATTTTTGGTTAGCACAAACATAATGGTTCTCATGTGGATCAAATTTAATGTAAAATACAAAGGAACACTTCCCTTTTTTCTGACTTGACCACACTGAAAGGAAGTGTAAAGCGGATGGGTGTGCTATTTCAGGGACTTCACACTGCTGCTTAGAGGTTCCATCTTACGGTATATATCACCAGCTTCAGGCATGCATGTGGTAATTTACCATCTGGGGGACTGGCAGTTTGCCTTTTTAGTTTCTGTTTTGTCATCGTTCAACGCAATCCAGTTCTTGGGTTTGAAGGTGAATGATCACTGTGAAAGGATTATTTATGACAGGTTTACTTAACTATTGTGAGAATGCATTACAACACAAACATGACAGAAACTCTATAGTTAAAAAGGGCTCAGCTTTTCAAACCTACCCTTTTAAGGCTGAACAGTGCAAGAATATAGAAGAACAAAACAGCTTTTTAAGTTGTTTGAGTCATGTCAGAAAAAGTAACAGTCATCTTTGTTAAACAGGCCAGATTTCACTGTCACCTTGATGAAGTCTGCTTATATACAGACATATTTTTTTCAAGCTTCATAATTTTGGTAATTTCACTCTATAAAGCACAGCAATATGACAGCCTGTCATATAATACAAAGTCATACAATGATACAGAAGAAATATTGTGCTTCATAACGACTCAGGAAGGAAGAGAGTTTGCTCGATTTTGATGCTGCCAAGATAAGGGTAAAATACAGTAATGAATTTTTCAGCCCCTGAAAGTTTGAAAGCCCAAAATATGGTACATAAATTAAAAAACAGAAAAGACAGATCAGCATCTTTCACTATCACGCTCTATTCTGCACTGTGTTTTTGTTTGCATTTTGTGCCTATTTTAATTTTTTTTTGCATATCCCATTTAAGAATTTCAGTAAAGGCTTTGAATAATGTTGCTGCAATTACTGTAGCCTCTGTAAACACCTGTCATAGCACTTGTCTAAGTGTTTGCCTTTAAGCAAAAGCACCAAGTTTAAAAATGCATACACTGCATTGCAGTGTAATCAATATTTGTGACCACAAACAACTCTTTTCTCAGAGTTTAAACCACAGCTTAGTTGTTTCTGCACATGTGCTTCGTGGTATATGTTATGCTAACTTCTAGTCATACAGGCACTTGCCATAACAAGTACCATTATAATACAATTCAGAAACCATGGAATAAATACTGACTGAAGCTTATAATGTTCATTTATTTTAAATAATGTCAGCAAGGGGTTTATTCAACTCTGGCAGTTGTTTTTAGACAGAATTGTGTTGCATTGTTATGCAAATATCCCATCAAGTGCCTTTCAGTTAATGTTGGCAAGGGTTTAGTTATAGCCTCTGCTTCTCTTTGCCAAAGCAGCTTTCCTGTGTTTGACATACATCATGATTTTTGAGGTTGTTCTGAAAACTTAATGAGTCATTTGTGCAGCTGCAAAGGCAGCTGTGATTAAGTTGTTTGAAAGTTAAAGGCCTGTTTCTTTGGAATTATGTTCATACTGCATGATTCTGCAATTATTTATTCAACAATTAAAAGTGTACTCCACCGATTTAGAATTGCACGCTTAATATTGTCAGACTCTTGATGGACAGTTTAAAAGAAAGGATCAAAATCGGAAAAGCAGAACCAGAAATATTGTGCATGATGTCATACTAAGGAAGTGCTTGTTTCGACTATACCAGTGGTGTAGCCAACCTTGGGGTCGGGACCCCCACTAGAAAACTAAATGAAAATATACACAGTAGGCTGATATGTCAGCATTTGGTTCACTTCTGTAAAGAAATGTAAATGTAAAGTAAAAGAAATTAATAGATAATAAAGTAAGAGTGATGGCCAAGCACCAGGGAAAAAAACACAATACAGATAATTGTATAAAAAGTTCCCTAAAGCCAATAATCTGCTCAGAATGTATCCAAATCACTCAACTCAACTTCTTCCAGTTACTGAGTTAACTGTTTCGGTTTATTATAAAGTTTTGAATATAATATGAAATATCCTTAAAATATGTCACTCTGTCAGGGGTGGTTAGTTTACTAAATGATGAAAAGGGGTCCCTTAGGCAGAAAAGTTGGGAATCACTGGGTTATACCATAGGCTACGAATACACCACTGTGTATTGTGGTGGCGTTTATTGATGCTTTATTTCAGACAGCAACAGAAAGCTCTGCTGCACTTGAGCTTCAGAAATGTTTGAGAAAATGTAGCTTGTGCATGCTACTTTTATTATTTGATCAATATTAAACTTGACATCACGTACCAGTCCTTAGGGATATTCTTACAATGTCACTGCTGCAGGGGAATACAGACGCGCAAGCTTGAGTTTACTTGTGCTCTCAACTTCCAAGAACACACATTCAGGTGAATAACACAGCCATCACCAGACTAACCATCACAATTCAGTGCAGTCTGCAAACAGCAGCTAGCAACTTGTCAACAGTTAACCACTCGCTAGCTACAGCTTTTTCACTGTCTGTTAGCAGAAAAATAATATATAAATGAATATACAATACCATCCTACCAGACTCATCATGCCACTGCAAGTGCAACAAAACCCTGAAACCAAAAGCTGAGTAATTCATTAGTATAACTTGCCGGGAAAAAAATTACAGATGACAAAAACAAACAATCAACAGAATAACCCCACAACCAACTTGACTCAAGTGACATCAATTAAGGCAATTTGTTAAATTTTGCGCAGCTTCTGCTGCAGCAACAAGGGGATTGATTCAACATTTTTCACATATGCAATAGTACTCCCCAAGACCTGTAAACTGACTCTGATGTGTGATCTGTAGACGTCCCCTTTTATACTGATATTTTTTAGATACTACACATTTTTTTTGGCATTTTATGTTAAGAAATATTGCCATTTTACTTTAACTGGGGTGTTGCTAAATTGTCCAATTTCAACATCCTGTCTGGAAATGACAAAAAAACAATTCCAATTTTTTCAGATCATATTTTCATGAGTGCAATTTCAAATTAATATCAGACAAGACATGGGGGAACAACAAGGGCAGGTAGTCAGGATTGTAGACTGTGTTCCCTCTTGTAGATATAACTGGGTAAGCTAATCATACAATAAAATAATCTAAGAGAAAGGGATTTCCTCGTTATCACTTGATTCCACAGTTGACTGAAATGATTTTTGTTTGTCCCCCATTCCTCTCCTAGAGAGTATCTCCAACATCCTGATCACTGAACAGTAGTCTGACGCCATGGCTTACTATTTGTCTTTGTTATCACTAGCTTGCAATGGCTCAACTGCCTGTTCTCCCTGGTTTCATTTAAGCCTGTCCAGGCTGAATCAAGGCCAACAACCCAACATCCCTACATACACTGCAGTGTCTGCGCCAGAACAAATCTGACAGGCAGATTTTTTACTCAAATTTCTGCACGACAGAAAACAACTGCATGGGCAACACAGCAGACCATATCAGAACTAACATTAATGAATACACAGAATCGAGCAACAACACACCACAGAATGAGAAACACACATTGCAAGTGTTTTTTCAACACAACATTACCTTATTATAGCCACAATTCAGCACCTAGGACAGCGACAGAGTTGAGGAAACACAGAAAAGCAGATGCAAATGCGAGCAATGTACAAACTGATCCACAGCAGAACAGAAGCACAGTAATACCAAGGGTTAAAAAAATAAGCTTCACTCACCATCAATATAGCCGAAAGCAGCGAGTGTCTGTGTTGAGCTGTGTGAGGATGACATCTTTCCAGTCATTAGTGCACTTCTACAAGCCAGCTGCTGTAACTGGGCTTTCCCATAAGTGAAACACAGCTTGACGATGTTCCGTGAGAATTGAAAACAACCTTTTTACATGTGTCAAGGAAAGCGTGTCTTTGACATGTGATTCTTGACTGCATTCAAAGCGTGACTGCATTCAAAGCATGTCCCCTACAGTGCTACAGTGACGAACAACGTGCAAAATCATATGTCTTTCCAACCGGTCTCTGACCTTAAAACAAAAATCTTACAAACCGGTTATGTTTATATAAACAGGCTTGGTAGTGATGTAATAATATTCGTTTGGTATGCTAATCTCTAAACCATCATTGGAGTGGGCCAGGACGACGCAGCCCGTGGGAGTGGAAGAGGGGAGTTAATGAGCTGCACCACGAGCTGCTGAGGTGTTAGCTTTGCTGGAACAGATCTGATGTTCATCATCTAATTATCACTAAAAATGGCTGCACT